AACCCATGGGCTTCCACCTCAGCTGGGCCCTAGGGATGCTCAGCAAAGGCCGTCCTAAGTGATTGCCTTATCACTTACAAGAGAGAAAGGGAGAGAGAGGCACCCCCAACGGGGCGCGGTCATGCCACAGTCCCTTCTCCTCCATCGCTCCATCCTGTTGGCATTTGGGGCATGCATGCACCCCCTAGCCTGTTTGTCAAGCTTCCAGGGCCAAGATTTGAACTGTGGTCCCCATATGAAATTTCCCTTAACCTGTAGGCTATGGGGGCAGCCCCCACTTTTTTTCTAATTTGAATTCCTTCAAAGGCATCTTAAAATTTTCTTTAGGGTCCAACTTTAGCTATATTTAGAAAGAAAATCTTCCGGGAAGAGTTCAAAGTTACTACTATTTATGTGTAGGTGACACTTCTGCTGTTTCTTTTCTTTAAAAAAAAAAATAATAATAATTTTATTTTATCTATTAATTTCTTTTTTTTGGAGAGCGAGAGAGAGACAGAGCACACATGCACAAGCCATTAGGTCCGGGACTCGAACCACTGTCGGCCATGTGGGAGTGTCCAGCACCTTACCTATCACGCCACCTGCTGGTCCCCAACTATTTCTTTTGTTTAGTCAGTTACTGAATATTAGGACTGAATACTGGGGGCTCTCCAGTTCTAAGCCTTCAGCTTCGGGACTCTGGAGCCCAGAAATAACGTCAAGGGGCACACCGAGGCAGGACAGACCTCCCCACACCTTCTAAGCCACTTGACTCAGAGAAGCTAATAGGACCCTGACCAGAGAACATTTCAGCCTGCCCTCGCTGCGAGTATCCAAGCTGGAGCCAGGGGGCACTCGGCTTCCTCCCTCTCCCTCGCCCTCGCCCTCGCCCACTCAGTGAGCAGAGCCCGGTGGTTCCATCTCCGTCCACCCTCCACCTCCTGAGCCTCGCCATGAGCTCCGGGAGTCGGCTGTTGCCCTCCCGGCCCTTAGGACAGCTGCTCTGAGCCTCCAGCCTCACGCCTGCCTTTCCATGTGTCTAAGTCACGTGTCCTTGTTCTCTCTCACTCTCGTCCCCAGGAGCTCCCACACAGTGCCTGCTCATTGCTGTCCATGCGCCCTGACCTGACTGGCCACACTGAGCCTGCGCATTTCCTGATGTGCCTCCCTCACGCTGACAGGCAGACAAGGGAGGCAGGGTAGCCTCCGCAGGAACAAAC